AAAACACAAATTGATCAAGCACATCAACAATATCAACAAGTTTTAAATGATGTTTATGTAAGTTTTTATTTTAGCTTTTTTTTTATTTAAGATTTTATTTTTATTTTTATTTTTATTTTAAAAATGTTTAGAAAGAATGTTTATCATCATTAAGTAATTTACAACGTGATGAAGAAATGCGTTTAATTGATAAATTAGAAAGAATTCAAAAAGGTTCTCAATCATTTGATGATAGTCGAATTGTTTTTCAAGGTTGTTTATCAAAATGTTCATTAAATGAATTAATTGAATTAAAAAAAAAATTATTTGATCAAAAATTAAATTCATTTCAACAATTATTTCAAATTGAATCAATTTATTTAAAAACAAATGATGATTTAAATAAAAATGATTTAGTTCAATTTATATCAACACCTATTCAAGATTTTCAACAATTAATTAAACTTCATTTTGGACAATTAATTAAACCACAATCAAAACAAACTTCATCACCAAATAATCAACATTATCAGGTTAGATTTTATCTTTAAACTATTAGAATAGTTAACATATACAACTCAATAGATTTATTCAATATCATTTCTCTATAGAACAATTATTTAAAACTCAAAACAAATATTTTTTATTTCATAATAATAGTTAATCTTACATTTTTATTTCAAACAAAACAAAACAAAACAAAACAAAACATATTTTATAATATGTTCTTTTTATGTATATATATATATTGAGTGCGAATATAGTTTGACGTATTTTCATAGTTGAAGGTCATAGGTGAACAAGTGCAAATAAATAAGAATGACATTAAATTGATAAAATAATTATTTTAATTTTAATTTTAATTTTACAAAAAAAAAAATAAAAATAATTTAGAGAGGATCATTATTATCATCAACAAATGGTGATTCTGTATCGTCATCATCAGGTGTTGGAAGTTTAGCTCTTGGTCAAGTATCATCTCGTGGTACAATATTATCAAATGGTGTATCACCATCAGGTACAAATCGGGAAGAATTTTTTGGAAATAATTCAAATAATGAAACAGAACCAGTTGTGGAAAATCTTCGTGCACTTGAATCAATATTTGTTGATCCATTATCAACAATTCATCCTAATGTACAAAGAAATTTAGAAGAAATGCTTCAAATGAATCAACAACAACATGAAAATCGTTTGTTTTTTATTTTTTATTTCATAAATAAAATTTCTTTTTTTTTTTTTTTTTTTTTTTTTTTTCTTAAGCATATTTTATTTTAACACGTCAATCATCAGCACCCCCAATAGGACAACGATCACCATCAAATAGTAAATTGATTATTTAATAATGTGAATAATAATAAAAATAAAAATGTTTATTTTTAAAAAGGTTTATCTCNTATGCTGTTCTTTTGCTGTGATATTTATTAAGAGTGTAATGTTAAGACGCTCCATGTCTATTATTTCATATTACATAGATATGTACCCAGCGTTGCTCTATAGTGTAACGAATGCATTTATGTTATTCGAATCTGTGTTCATTCAAATATATCATGAAAAGAACTTAGAGTTCTTTGATAATGCTATACGTATTTTGAGACCTTGCAATATTCGATTTGATTGTATAGTTTTGGTTTTCTTTCGGGTCAGCTGTAGACGTATCTATGCTCTGATGGACCATTTGATTATGTTATTTGCTTTCAAGTGTTCAAAGATATTGCTTAATCTACATTAAACGAATGATAAATGATGCTGGTGTTTATTTGTATTTTATTTTCTCTCTCCAGGTCAGATTTGCTATGTGTTGCTATATATTGTAACTGTGCAAATCAGTTCATAATATTTCATATTATTTAGGTGTTGCTGCGTTGATTAGAGTCAAAATATAAGTATTTTGTTACGTTCAGAATACGTATTTTAATTCGATATTGTTGTTTTAAAAAATGATGACATTTTGTGCTAGAATATTTTTCTTTTATTTTGGTTTATTATTTGTGTATCTTTATATGAACTTAGCATTTTTTCCAATATGCTATCAACTTTACAAAACTCATCATTATGCGACTTTTTAATAATGCATTGACAGACGCGCAACTGTTTGTGTTTGCAGGATAAAATTATCAATCATTACAACAAATTATTATATTCAATTTGATTTGAGCAGGTTACTTTAACAATTTATTCAAGAGATTCCAGTGTCGGTAAAGGTGTTAATTTGTATATATATTATTATCACTATGTTCATAATGGAAATCTTGACGAACACAAATATGTTTGCACATATCATAGGAGAATTAGATTTTTGCATTCTATGCCTCTTTTCGACGCTCTTCGAGTAGCCATGTTGGTCACGACGCACCGAAACGAAGATAAGAGTGTGCGGTTTCACATGTTGAGATAGGTTTAGCACTAGTTAAAGTGAGACACACAGAGAAAACCGTTAGGAGGTCTTTCAAGTCCTCACTAGTCATGAATAAGGTAAAAGTTCAAGTGCTTCTCCTGCGACAAGCAAATCTCTGACTGAACATTTTTTATACCATATATTGTCGTTACAGACCACTTTCGGGCATTTCTTCAACAGTTGTAAAAATGAAGTTTTTCAAACCTTTATCCTGCGACAGAACAGAAACCCTTAAAGAGTTTTACATGGATGCGATGTCCTTACCATGTATAGCAACAATGCATAGTTTCGCAGATATTGATTTAACGCGTAATTTCATGAGCATTAACACTAAACCATGATTTTTCAACTGTTCACAATAGAATGAGCATCATCAAGACAGATTCTGCCCGTTTGCGCTTTAATCAAAGACGCAATGAAAACTTTTCTGATTCTACAGATGCTTTGCTTCTTGCCGATGCCTTCTGCACTGGTTTTTTCTTTTATTTTCGCGTCTACCTGTATTAACCAGGGGATTTATGCACTCATAAGTAATATACACTTTTTCTTTTTGTTTCTCTGCTTTTCAATAAGGATCGCTCTTCAGAATTCATGAATTCATATATTTATAATTTATATGAAACTATTTCTTATTCTTTTGCTGCTTTTCAACGGGGTCATTCTTCAGAATTCATAAATTTATAATTTATATAAAACTGTTTCTTTTTCTTTTGATGCTTTTTAAACAGGGATCACCCTTCAAAATTCATAAATTTATATTTTAAATGAAACTTTTCTTTTTCTTTTGTAGATGTTTCAATACGAGTGTGGCATTTTTTTAATTTTCGAACTCGTATGAGTTCGTTAGGCTCATATATATATTTGAGCTCGAATTAGGCAACTCATATCTATACTGGTAAGAACTTCAGATCAGGCAGTTGCTGATCTATTTTATTTACTTTTTTACTTTAACTAATTAAACATAATGAAAATTTCTATAGGTTTTGATGCCATGATGCTACCTTTATTATACATGATCAGTTTTACTCCTTTGCTAAGCTTTCTTAAGAAGTTGCTTGTATTAGAGATTTCCAAGCCTGTCTCTATATCAATGTACATGTTGTAGTTCTTGTTTGACAAAACGTCCTCGTAGGATGCATTGGATGCTTTTCCTCTGTCTACTATTCCTTCTTATTTTATGTGTTGCCCGTACTTCATACATCGTGTTGTACTTTGTTCCAATCATGGGCATTTATCTTCTGTTCTTTTTATTCTTTTCTGTCCTATTCTCACCTTCTTGTTTACAGACGAGTATATAAACGTATGCTTTGTTTGTAAACGATGCGATTCTTGATAGAAAGAAATACAATAAAGCGTAATTCCATTAACACTAACTCTTCTTCTTTCTGAAGATTATCACACTTGAGTCTTACGAGAAAGTATACATAAATCTAAAATCATAACTAAACTATTATACTATCTTGCAATACATTGAATTCAAGACGAGTTTAATCAGCATTTACATATGGAAGATTAATAAGATATAAAATGAGTGATCTGATTAAATAGAAATTAAAACTATTAGTTAATATTTCTATAATATTTAAAAACAATGTCATCCTTTTAGATTACGCTCGTTTTCTATTAGAATAATGACAAATAATAGTTTTCCTTATTCATCAATCATTGATATGTTCAATAAACAGGCAATATCACGATCAAATGAAATATATCTTTTATATCCAAATCAGATTGATCAACAAACGTATGCTACACTTACCTATAAACAATTTAATGAAGTGACAAGTCATTTGGCACAACAATATTCTATAAAAATTCATTCAATCGCAACAAATCAAATACCAGTGGTGTGTTTATTAGGAAAAAATGATGAAACTTATTTATTGACAATATATGCATTATTGAAACTTGGTGTGATTGTTTTTCCGCTTAGTATTCGAAATTCAGAAGCCGCCATTATCCATTTACTCGAAATGTCAAATGCATCATATCTGTTCTATTCCGATGAATATGCATCAGTAGCAAATGAAGTTAAAATTAAATTTGGCTCAAATATTGAATTGTATCTATTGAAACAGATTGATATCGATGGACTTCTCTATCTTGGAGAATCAACCTTTAAGTTCATATCTGAAAACAATGATCTTGATAAATATTGTATCATTTTTCATAGGTATACATGAAAATAATAGAAAAATCTGACAAATTTATCTAGTACAATGTTTATTTTTTGTATTTTAGTTCTGGAAGTACATCGTTTCCGAAACCAATTCGTTTGACCATAAGATGTATGTTTGGTTGGAGTGAAAGCTTTGCATTAGAAATGAATAATCAGTTTTGGGCGAATGATGACGCAGTCTTAAGTGTATTACCTTTGTAAGTGTAATATTAAGAAATGAACTATTAGATTTTATTTCAATTGAATTGAATAGTTTGATAATCAAAATCGCTGAATAAATTCTAATATAGTTCGAATTAATTTCAAATTTTATAAGTTAAACATTCATATGACAAGCAAGTGATCCTTGGAAAGTTCAATATTATTATATTTAAGTGTCGTAGTAGACTAAAGATAATTCGTGAGTGAAAGAAGCCATTAACTATTTTAAGCTAAAGGCGAGAATATTAGAGCATTTAGAACACGAATCTAGACATCAAATCAAACAATTTACAAACTATTAGATATAATTTATTTTTTCGATTTTAGATTTCATATTCTGGGCATGTCGGTTGCAATTATGATGTGGTACGCTGGAGGAGCATATGCATTGCCACTGACAGCATCTTTTCCACCATCACCCAAAGAAATAATCACTAGTCTGCAGTATTTGAAAATTACTAAACTATTAGCTGTTGCTCTAATTCTTGAAGAGATCATCGAATGGTTACATCAATATGATGATATTGGTTTTCAGGCGTTGGCTTGTCTTAAATTTGTTATTTATGGTGGTGCATGTTGCTCGACTGATATTTGCAATGAATTGATTGAGCACGGTGTCAATGTTACCAACATGTATGGATCAACAGGTTAGTCCACTTGAGTACTCGTAAAATTTAAACTTATAAAGCATTATATCAGTGATAGATCAATTAGTTTTGTTATACATGCAAAATCAGTTGATAGAAAACTTCTCTGATTTTTCACTCTTCTGTGTCAATAGCTCTTTTCGAACTAATTTAGGTTGTAATACTCATAATATATGGACATTAAAGATTTACACAAGTAACTTCGAATTATTAAAAAAGACATTGATAATTAGTTGTTATTTAAAATGTAGTTCAAATTCAAAGTAATATATTTGCTACTTATTTTTCTTTTGATATTTAAAACAAATCACCTATCATTAGAAACTATTTTTGAAAAGTAATTCCTATTATTTTGAAGATACCTATCATTAGAAATTATTCTTTTCAGGACACATGAATTCTAGTATTGACTTCGGTTTTTATTTAATAGAAATGGGATACATTGGTGTTAGTAATTATGAAACAACTAACAAAAATCGGTGGCAAAGTATTCGAATACTCAAAAATCGACAATCAAGCGTTAAATTCTTACCAATAGAAATGAATTCAAATATTTACGAAGCTTTTATCTCCCCAACTGATCCATATATTGCACCTGATATCGCTAAAAATGGTCCTTATTCTCTTGGTGATTTATTTTTAGAAGAATCATCCGGATCTGGCTACTATATCATTCAAGGTCGCGTAGATGATGTTCTTGTACATACAACTGGAGAAAAAACAAATCCATTGCCAATAGAACTTGCTATTCAAGAACATCCAATTATAAAGCGTGCTGTCGTTGTTGGTCATCAACGTTTTTGTTGTTCAGTTCTCATCGAACTCAATTTAGAAGAAGCATTTCAGTATGAACTTCGTTCAATTGAAGAACAAGTTTTTACTGCTGTACAATCTGCCAATAAAGATGCACCAACACATTCACGGATTATTCCTGCTTTGATAAAAATTCTTCCAATGAGCAAACATTTACCCACAACTGGAAAGGGTAATATTATTCGAAAATTAGTTGATCAAGAATACGGTTCTATTATTGATCAAATGTATAATCAATTTCTCAAAGAATCACAAAATAAAAATAATTCTCAATTACATTTGAAACATCACTTATCGACAAAACATGGAATTTGTATTTATCTGCAAAGAATAGTAGCTGAAATTTTCAATAAACCGATTGAAATATTTGCTGATTATTCGAAATCTTTATATTCACTTTCACTTGATTCGCTTACTGCTATTGAACTACGAAATATTCTTTGTGTCGAATTTGGTCAACTTGATCAGCAAATTATCCATGAATTTTCATCAATCGATGCTTTAGCTGATCAATTATTGCGTATTATCAACAAAGAACAAGTTCAGACATCAATTGATACTCAACATTACAAAGAAACGGAAGAAATCATTGACAAATACATTGATTTAATGAAAATAGATGATAATCGAAGAATAATCACCTCAAAAAAACATTCCAATGACTGTGATCATAACATACAAAATGAACGGATATTCTTAATTACAGGTGCAAATGGTTCACTTGGTAGTCAAATACTATTACAATTATTACAAAAATTACAAGTTAGTCGAATTTATTGCTTCGTACGTGGTCAGGATGCTAGTGATCGTTTGCAACGTGCTATGGAAATACGAGAACAAGATTTAACCATGTTACTCAACAATAATCGTATTATTATCTTAAATATGGATCTTAATCATGACAGACTAGGACAAACTCAAGACATGTACAAACAATTACAGAACGAAGTCACCGACATAATTCATTCAGCTTGGAAAATGGATTTCAATATGACTATAAAAGATTTTGATCAAGATTGTTTGCAAGGTCTATATCGATTACTCAAATTCGCTTCTAGTTCAACAACAAAATTACCAAAGCGTTTTCATTTTATTTCAAGTATCAGTGCTGCTGGCTCAAATTTATTCAACGAAATTAAAGAAGAACCATTACCACGTCGAGTAGAAATAGCTCTTCCACATGGTTATGGACAATCAAAATATGCTGCTGAGCATATCTGCTTGGCAGCTATGGATTTATGGAGTAAGCCATCTATTTATATGTTGTTGCACAATTTTACTTTCTCTTTCAGTTTAATAAAATAAATTTCATATGTTGTTTTTATCTTCAATTAATAATTTCTATTTATAATCAAGAGAGTCTACCTCTTGTCTTCTTAGGTGTACCCATTGATATATATCGATTTGGACAGATTAGTGGTGATAGTGGAACGGGTGCATGGAATACTGCTGAAATGATATCGTTAATGATATGTGCAGGTGGTGGAGGAATGGGTATATTACCCGATAAATGTCAAAAAATCGATTGGATTCCAGCTAATTATGGTGCAGCATGTGTAGTTGACATTGCAATTAATACAAGCACAGAATTGACGTCACCTTTTGAACGTGTACATCACATTCTCAATCCACATGAGATTAACTGGTCTGAATTACTTGAACATTTGAAATTATCTGGACTTCAATTTAAAGTTGTTTCCATTAAAGAATGGTTACGTATGCTTCTCGCTAGTCCCAAGAATCCAGCCTATGCTCTAGTCAGCTTCTTTGAAAAACTCTTTGCTGATGATAATCAAATGGAGTTTGCTAAATTTAGAACTGAGAAAACCACTCGTCGTACTACGATGCTTGAATGTTGCCCACCTATTGACCAAAAACTTATTCAACGCTACTTAAACTATTGGTGGAAAATAGGCTTTCTTAAGTATGGATATAATCCTAACATCTAGACAAGCAAAAGAACAATTCTTTTTAGACATTTATTATAGAACTATCCAAATAATCAACGAAAATGTTATACTAATTAGCTTTTAAAATAGGTGCTTTTTTTTCTATTATATTATTAAACGTCATACATATCTAAAAATAAATAAAAGTCAATACTATTTCAAATCTAGTAAAATATGAGTATTATTTATCTATTGACTATTAACTGCTTTATAAGATTTGTTCTGTATAGATTTGAGCAATGAAAACAAAACAAAAATAATATGTCTAACGTTTGATAGTGTTATCTGAAATAAAACCAGTCTCCTTTAATCATTTAAATATATTTACAATCTCTTCTGGATTCCAAAATTTAAGATTGGTGGTCGTCAAAGAATTATCTAATCCTTATTCTAATAGACTATTTTCATCTTTGAACAATACTGATAAACGATAAAAGCATTATGATAATCTATCGAATATATTTAATAGAATGAAAAATAAAAACTTAAATAATTATTTATTTAAAAAAAAAAAAGTATTTCATAAAATATTGTGCTGAAAATCTAAAAAATCTTTTTGTTTTAGAAAATTCTAATAGTACAATAAAAATAAAATGGTTGATATGATTTGATTTAATTTTTCTTCAATTTTATTATAGTTTTTCTAATTGTGATCGAAAATAGTTTTAAGTCAAAATAAAATAAATATTAAGAAAAAGAAAATAAATTCAAATTATTAACAGAAAAGAGATGAAAATTAGATTTTTCTCAATGATTTGAACTATTTGATTGAAGAAAGACAAAAGAAACTTAATTAAATTTTGATAAATAGTCTTGAGTTTTATTTTAATTTAATATGATAAACATGATCAAAGTTCGAAGAAATATATTTGTATATATAGTCAATATAAACATAAAACAATATATAATTTATTATTTGTCATTTTAATTTTAATTTTAATATTTTTTTTTATTTTGATTTAATTGATTAGAACAATATTTATTCATATTATAAATTAAATTGCCAATGTATTTTATGTATATTTCAATATTGATCAACATTGATTAAAATTTGTTATATGAGAAGAATGAGTTTTAGTTTATTCTACTTTATTATAAAATTCACAAGCTAGATTTTTCAAATGATTTATGATTAATAATAAAGAAATAGAAACTCAATGTTAGATGTCTTATCAAATAATTAAATTCTATTTAATCTTAATATAAACGTTTTTTTTTCTTTTAAATAATAAACTACTATAAAGCACGTTTTTATGATCAAAATATTTCTTCTCTTATTATATTTTCTATTCATTCGAAAAAAATGTTTCCAGTAATATTTTCATATGTTATGTATGATCAATGTGAACTGTATATATTATTTTGTATCCGAAATGCATTTTTTTCGATTTATTCTACTAACAAAAAAACTATTTTTGAGAAAATTATAGTCATGTACAAATTCAATTTTTGCATTATTAAATTTTTTTCTCAAATAAATAAATAATTGGTATAACTGCAGCTTAGTCATATCCTCATGTTAATTGCTGCATTTAATCTAGTAAATAGTGTAAGAATATGACAAAACTGTAAAATGTACTTCATATTTACTGTTGGTTGAGCTTTGTAGCTTTCATTCTCATTGTCAATTATTGTTCAGGAGCTTAATTATTTAATTTGGCTTACTGTAAAATATCTTCAAATCATCATAGAAATTTATTAAAATTATATTTCTATGTAGCGAGTTTAAAATATGAGTGAAAAGAAGATAGATTATTGAATAAAAACAAAAGAGTTACATTTTCTCAGGGTGACTATCTTATTTCGATTAGAAATATTCCAATCATAACTATTAAGAAAAATGAATATAAATAGACTCAAACATTGCTAACAATATATCATTTTAGTTTTTTTTCTTTATCTAAATTAAAACATAATTGTATTTTAGTTCAATATGTTACATTGAGAGTTTTATAAAGTTATTTTTTATAAAATTTTGATAGTAATAGAAATACAACAAATGTAAGCATAGATGAAATGAATAAAAAATTATATTCAATAAGATATAACCATAAATCATTTCTTGAGTTCATAAGTTTGACTTTTGATGGAAGTTCCTTATTACAAGCATACAAGCTGATGTTAGATTAACTATTAATAGACCTGAATAGTGACATATATGAATAACAGAATCAAGTTTTCCTTAATTGTATGAATAAGCAATGGTATGTCATATTTGTACTAGTAGTAAAGATTAAAAGAATAATTACAACTATTTAAGTACTCTTTTTGCTTTTGTTCTTTCGAGAACTATCTTCTTTTGTCATTGTAATTGCCCGTTCCTTTATAATACATGTATTTAATTATTGATCCCTATTTAAAACAAAATTGTAAAATAAAATCAAATGATAAATATGCAATTAGTAAAAATGATCGATTTCGTATAATAGGCCATTTGTGATAGAACAAGTATGAAAAATTTCAATACAAATATTATAATTGTTGTCAGTAAAATTGTTATTAATATGAATCTAATAAATACAAACCACAACTAACTTTACATGTAACTTTATTGCTAAATGTAATTAGAGATAAAATTTTATTGATCAATTCTACAATTATAAATATTTAAAATAAATATCAAACTAATTTTGACAACATCTGGTTGAATATGATAATCTAATATAGTATCAAACGACAAACTAAATTGACATCATGATCCAGAAGAACAAGATGAACAAATTAATATTGATCTTTGTGTACAATCTGGATTATCTTGAAAATATTGATCATCATTTTCACAAACACATTGACCGAAACAATCCAATTTCATATTATGGTCAAAATTAAAATAATATGCTTGATACTTGTTGATAATTTTGACATATAAGACAAATATGTAGATTATCATAAAAATATGAAAAATTTAATAAATATATTTGACATGGGAAATGATTATATTTATTACAGTAAAGAATATGTATTTCAACAAAAGTTTCATTAAATAATTCATTTATATATTGATAACGATCAGACCAGTTTGTATAATTTAATAAAAATAAATTGAAATGGTTGTGACCAATAAATTCTAATTTGAATTTGTGTAAAAGGTATTATTCGAAGAGCAGTCATTCTCTGTAGTGTGTCATTATCAATGACTTATAAGAAACGAATAAATATTGATTGAGATGAAATAATATCATTTTGAACTGATAAAATTACTTTTTTTCAATCAACTATTTCACATCGATCTTCATTATAAACTTTGGCACAATTACATCTAAATGTTTAATTCGACTTTACGCCCTCATCATTTCAAATACATTGATCACTATTTTCATATTTTTTATTCGTATTCATTTAACAAATTGTATCAAAAAGAATTTAGATCGATTGTAAGCATATATACCGATATACAATGAATTTGGAGAACATGTATATGTGTGCAGAATAGTACAATATTGTCTAGATCATCCTCAATTATATTGACAAAAACTTCGATTTTGTGGATTATTTGAATAAATAATACATTTGCCATAAATTTATGATGACTTTGAATTATTTTTCATCGTTTCGTTGAATATTAGCTATTAAACTTAGGCGTTGAGAATAGATCAAAATGACAATTTAATCAAATATAATAAATTTACTAGCTAAATTACAGTAGGTTTTTTTATTGATATGAATATGTATGAAATAATTTTTTGTTTGATCATTTGGTCGAATCGAATAGAGTAGATCAATATTAAATTTAATTTTACAATCTTTAGTCAACAAATAAGTGAACTGTTGATATGAAGGAACAACTATTTTTTCGCTATCATCGATACTCGTTCATTTTCATATTGGCATTGATCATCATAATGATTAGATAGACAAAGACACGGATTCTTTTGATTGTCTAACCAAACATGCAAATCAAAAGTACGATGACATCGTGATTCATACTGATGAGATATTATAGGAATGGATGGATGTAGATGTGGAGTGTGAATATAGATATTATTTTTTGCTGCCTTCACATTCACACTCTATCCACACCCACATCCATCTCATGACACCGACCGGCATCTTCATCTCGATGATCTTTTAACAGAATAGAAACAAGTTCGTTTCTCTTAGAACGGTCAACTTTCTATTCACACTTCCAATAGGTTACTTGCGTTTCACATACTTCTGTAATTGACTTTTTTAGTCTCCTTGAGAAACGCTTCTGATTCGATCCTTGTCTACAATCACATGACGAAGGGTTTCAAGAAAAACTCAAGCCGAGAAAATATCGACACTGCCATTAGTTCTACTGTATTTTTTACCTTCATTGCGTCACAGAATTTCGTCCTATTATTAATCAAAATCAAATTTCATATAGGTATGTCATGCTTCTTGAATTTCTTTTTTTGTTATTAAACAAAAGAATGCTGCTTTAATAAGATATATAGAAAAAAAGAAACCGTATGAAAAAAAAAATGCTAATGCTTGTGAGCTTTAGTCAAGCAAGTAGTAAAGGAATTCTTTCAGCATATTTTATAGTGGGTATTGATTGTGCCTTTTCTTCTTCAGCATGAGATTTTTACAGATTATATAATCGAGTGCGGTGCTGAAATGAAGTAATGGGTTTTACTGATAATGAAATGCCTAGTAAAATGGTGCTGAAACAGGTGAAAACAGTAAATTTGAAACGTTTTCACGCAACTATTTTGTTTTTCCATTCTTTGTGTTTGTTTATAGACTTCTAACAACTCTCAGTTTAATGAACTGATTCTTTTTTGAGAACTACATCGAAGACATAGTTATTTTCTGGAATTATATCGAAGGAATACTTCTCTTTTCAGAACTGGGTCTAGTGAATAGTTCGTTTTTTGAAAATTGAGTCTTTCTTTACTAGCTTCAAGTTTTCGTTAGGTTCATTCCAGCACATTTGTGCAGTTCACAAGCATGATTCATAATGAAGCAATTATAAATTTAATGGGAAGGTTAGAATGAGATGTCTGATGGCATCACTTCATTCAAAAATAACTGTT